ATGTAAATGAAATCATATAGTATGTACTCTTTTTGTCAGGCTTCTTTTAGTCAGCATAATTATTTTGGGATTCCTCCATAATGCTGAGTTAATGAGTAGTGCTTTTTGGGTTTGTTTGTTTTTGGTTTTTGGGGGGCTGTTTAGTATTCTGTTGTATGAGTGTATCACAACTTAAAAAATCCATCTGTTAATGGACATTTGAATTATTTCCATATTTTGGATACTATAGCTAAGGCTTTTGTGAACAATTGTGTACAACTTCTGCAGTGAAATATGCCTTCATTATTTTTATTTATTTGGCGTGCATTTAGGAGTGGGATGATGGATTATACAGTAGGTGTATGTTCAGAAACTGCCACCTGCTTTTCCAAAGTTGTACTATTTAACATTCCCACCAGAAGTGTATGAGAGTTCTAGTTCTCTCTGCATTCTTTCTAATACTTGATGATTAGTCTTATTAATTTTAGTTTTTGGAATAGGGGTATAGTGGTGTCTCATTGTGGTTTTAATTTGCATCGATTAATGATATTGAGCCCTTTTGTCATCTGTATATCTGCTTTGATGAAGTACGTTCAAATCTTATGCCATATTTTAAAACTCAGGTTTTTGTTTTCTTATTATTGTATGTTCAGAATTCTTTATGTATTCTGGATATAAACGCTTTATATAGTTGAAAGCATCTCGCAGTCTTGTGGCTTGTCTCTTTTTATTATGAACACTTGTATCTAAGGTCAGAACTTTTCAGTTTTGATGATATTTATCAATTTTTTTCAAATTCATGAATTGTGCATTTAGTGTCATAACTAAGAAATCTTAATACAAGATCACAAAATTTTCTTCTGTTTCCTTTTTATTTTACTGATTATGATATTACAATTGTCCCATTTTTTTACCCCTTTGTCCCCCTCCACTCTGCTATCCCCCTTCCCTGTAGTATTCCCCCCACCTTAGTTCACGTCCATGGGTTGTACATATAAGTTCTTTGGTTTCTCCATTTCCTATGCTATTCTTAGCCTACCTTCTGTCTCTTTTATACCTACCAATTATGCTTTTTATTCCCTGTAACTTTTTTCTGCATTCTTCCCCTCCCCCTCCTCACTTACAACCCTTCATGTATTCTTTATTTTTGTGATGCTGTTCCTGTCCCAGTTGTTTGCTTAGTTTGTGTTTTTGTTTTTTAGGTTCAGTTGTTGATAGTTATGAGTTTGTCATTTTACTGTTCATACTTTTAATTTTCTATGTCTTAGATAAGTCCTTTTAACTCTTCATATACTAAGGGCTTAGTGGTGATGAACTCCTTTAACTTGACCTTATCTGGGAAGCACTTTATCTGTCCTTCCATTCTAAATGATAGCTTTGTTGTGTAGAGTAATCTTGGATGTGGATCCTGGCCTTTCATGACTTAGACTATGTCTTTCCAGCCCCTTCTTGTCTGCAATGTTTCTTTTGAGAAACAAGCTGATACTATTATGGGAACTCCTTTGTAGTTCAACTGTCTCCTTTTTCCTTGCTGTTTTTTAAGATTCTCTCCTTCTCTTTAATCTTGGGTAATGTAATTATGATGTGTCTTGGTGTGGTCATCCTTAGATCTAACTTCTTTGGGACTCTCTAAGCTTCCTGGATTTGCATGTCTGTTTCCTTTGCCAGATTGGGGAAATTTTCCTTCATTATTTTTGCAAATAAGTTTTCAATTTCTTGCTCTTCCCCTTCTCCTTCTGATACCCCTATGATTCAGGTGTTGGGACATTTAAAGTTGTCCTGGAGGTTCCTAAGCCTCTCCTCATTTTTTTGCATTCTTGTTTCTTCATTCTGTTCCAGTTGAATGTTTATTTCTTCCTTCCTGTTGCAAATCTTTGATTTGAGTCCCAATGTTTTCCCCTTCACTGTTGGTTACCTCTATGTTTTTGTTTATTTCACTTTGTATAGCCTTCAATTCTTCCTTTATTTTGAAACTCTTCTCCATTATTTCTGTGAGCATCCTGATTATCGGTGTTTTGAATTCTGCATCTGATAAGTGGGCTATCTCCTCATTGCTTAGTTCTTTTTCTGGAGTTTTGATCTGTTCTTTCATTTGAGCCATATTTCTTTGTCTTGGCATGCTTGTTATGTTGTAAGGGGCAGAACCTTAGGTATTCACCAGGGTGGGATAACCCACATCTATGCCTTGTGGCACTGTATGTGGAGGAGGAGGGATCAGAGAGGGAACAGTGCTGCTTGCCTGGCTCTCACCCACTTCTTCAACATCCCACAAGTGAATTGAGCCCTTTGAGGTACTGCCCTGTTGCTGATTCCTGGGTAGGTGGACCTGTGTATGTTCCAGGTCCCCAACAGACTCTCCTGTGAGACTGTGAGATTCTCCTGCCTCTGCAACCCCCACAGATTTTTATAGCTAGAGGTTTTTGAGACTTTCTTTTCCCTTGCTGGAACTCTGGGTTGTGTGGTCCGTCTGGCTCCCCCCCAGTTGTTTCTCCTGGCCTATCCACAACTTACTGTAGGACCGCCTGGTCCACCAGCCCCTGCCATGCTGCACATCTTCTCTGCTTCTCCTAGCAGTATAGGTGAATGTTTCTTCTGTAATTCCTTGGTTGTCAGACTTCCATACACTTCGATTTTCTGGCAGTTCTGGTTGTTTTTTGTTTTTAAATTGGTTGTTATCCTTCTTTTGTTTGTGCATGAAAGTGAAGCATATCTGTCTATGCCTTCATCTTGGACAGAAGCTCTTCTGTGTTTTCTTCTTGAGGTTTTATGGTTTTGGAGTTTATATTTGGGCCTGTGATTCATTTTGAGCTGATTTTTATTTTTGATTTAAGGTATGGATAGAGGTTCATTTTCTTAGTATATGGATATTCTTTTATTCTTTCATGATTCATTAAAACAATCTTTTTGTCTCATGAACTTGCCTTTATAGCTTTGTTTAAATCAGCTATTTACTTTTGAAAAAAATTGAGATATTTAAAGCAAATGCAGATGTAATGCTACTTAGCCCTACTTATATTACCATTATAAATCTCTAATGAATAAGGGCTGATTTTTAGAAACATAATAACCATTCCATTATTGTATATAACAAACATGACCTTAAAATTTCCTTAAAATAATCTAATATTCAATTCATATTTAAATTTCCTAGGTTGTTTGAAAGATAGTTTTTCATAGAGTATTTGTTCAAATCAACATTGGATTTATTTATAAGTATTTTTTTATCGTTTAAACAAATTCTCCCACTATCCTTTCCTTCTTGTCATTGATTAGCTTGCTTTCTTGTTGATGATTGATTTTATTGGTGATCCAATATTCTGGATGCTACTTACTAATTGCCTCTGTCATTGTTTAACTCTCTCCTCTGTTTTTCCTATTTCCTATAAACTGGTGGATATACAAGACCTGAGACTTAGTTAGATTCAAGTATAATTTTTTTAAGCCAAGTATACGCTATAGGTAGTGGGTAATACTTCCTGTTGTGTTACAGAAAGAGTCATATCATATCTGGATTATTCAGAGTTAGAAGGTGTCAGCCTTCTAACTGTATGTTAGATATGTTAACTGTAAAGTTCCCTATTACCCTTTCACCTTATCTTGTGAGTTTTTTTTTAGCATCCATTAAATGATTCTTGGGTAGGTCCATTATTTCATTAGAGTTTACAAGATGGCGATTTTCTAATTCTATCATTCTTTTGCATTTTTACTAGCTAAAATTGTTCTTTAAAAAACCCCTAATATGAACTAGTAAACAAGCAGGTTAAATGTTTGCTTCACTTCCCTATTTTTTATCAGATTTCAAAATAATGAGCTGGTCTAAGCACCCTCAGTGATGACTAGTAAAGAGTTTATTTTTTTTGTATTGCCCTGGCTGGCGTGGCTCAGTAGATTTAGTGCTGGCCTGCAAACTGAAAGCTTGCTGGTTCTATTGCCAGTTAGGGCACATGAGTGGGTTGTAGGCCAGGTCTCCATTTGCAGGTGTGTGAGAGGCAAGTGATTGATGTATCTCTTGCACATCGGTATTTCTTTCCCTGTCTTTCTCCTTCCTTTACCCTCTCTCTAAAAATTAATAAATAAAATTAGAAAAATAAGTATTTTTGGTATGATTACTAAGTCAGGCATTTCCATATATTTCATTAGTTTCAAACTGTGGATATCATTTTTGATGCTCAAAATGCTTTAAGTTGGCTCATGTCTTTTGACATGATACTTTCATACTTTGAATAAATGAGATTCAAATCTAGGTATATTTAACTTCAAAGCCCATGTTCTTCCTACAATTCTTGTTGTGCCTTCTTGAAGGAAGCCCTTAAGGAATCAATGAGACATGAATGGAACTGTTAAGGGGTACATTTGTTGTGATGGAGATTTGATACAGGAATGTCAAAATATGAACATCGGTCTAGCAGTGGGAAGGCAAAAGACACTAGGAATACCAAAAGAAAACAGGTCAGAAACATAGTACCAAAGACATTGCAGGCTGGCTTGAGGGACTCGGTCTTTTTAATATTTAGGTGGTGTGGTCATGGGATTCAGTTCATGATACTTTGTTCCTTACATGAGATTGACAGAAAATTATTTTTGAAAGAAGCTCCTCTTGATTGCCATTTTCACTGGAGTTTTTAGGGGAAAACAAAAACAAAAACCAAACCCCACAAAAACCTGACTCAAAGAAGCCAATATCATCTAAGTAAAGTCTGGAGGTAATCATTTGTTTAGTGGTTAACTTTCTCAGGACTCTGTAATCCTTAACTGTTCATCTTTTGCATGTGATATATTTAGGTTGTATTTAAGTCAGTGGGGTGTGTGTGTGTGTGTATAATATTTATGCAGTGATAACGAAAGTAATTTAAGTAATTCATTTCTGTTGTCTTACTATTGCTTGATTTAACTGGTCTCCTATAACATTATTGGCTATGTTGAAATATGAGGACTAATTATGGGTTAGTGGGCTTTATCATATTTTACTGTAAAATCTGGCTAATTATCTGTTTCACTGAATTTTACTTTCTGATTTCTAGGGCTCCATGGTTATGAATGTGCTTCAATTTCATAATGCCTCCTGCTATGGCAGACATCCTTGACATCTGGGCAGTGGATTCACAGATACCATCTGATGGCCCCATACCTGTGGATTTCCTCTTGCCCACTGGGATTTATATCCAGTTGGAGGTACCTCGGGAAGCTACCATTTCTTATATTAAACAGGTATGTTAATAGGTAGAATTTCTATAAATGTAGCTTGTTACTATATCACTTATGGAAACATAGTCTTCTGTTGTAGAAACTATTCATAATGTAAATCATATGGTAAATCTGAATAACATTGAACCTTTAGGTCATAACATTTTAAAGATTTTGATACATGCATTGTTTTTTGTGGACATATAAAACATCCTCATTCTTACTCCCACTTTCAATTTTAAAAAAATCTGTATGTGATACCTGAATTAAGAAAATAGGCTTATATTAGCTAGTTTGGAATGTTCAGGTTATTAAAAGGAATTTGACATTGTTAAGGAAAATTTGAGTTAAAATCTTTGTAATTACTCTCTTTGAGCTTGCTATGTTTTTTTTTAAGATTTTATTTATTTATCTTCAGAAGGGAAGGGAAGAAGACAGGGAGAGAAATATCAATGTATGAATGCCTCTCATGCATCCCCCGGTGGGAACTGGCCTGCAACCCAGGCATGTGCCCTGACTGGGAATTGAATTGTGATCCTTTGGTTCGCAGGCCCGTGCTCAATCCACTGAGCTACACCAGCCAGGGCCTACTATGCTTTTTTAAAGTGTGATTTTTGGTTGGTTATCTGTTCTCTCTTTTTCTTTCTCCTTCTCCTTCTTTTTCTCTTTCTCTTCCCTGAATCCAGTACTTTTCGTGATGACTCTTGGGGAAGAAAAAGTTTTCTGCTGTTCACTAAATTTATTCCCCCTCAGTGATGAATGGTATGTCCTCATTTGGAAGCACATTCTTTTAAAAAATATTTTATTTATTTATTTTTAGAGAGAGGGGAAGCAAAGGAGGAAGAGAGGGAGAGAAACACCAGTCTGTGGTTGCCTCTCACATGGCCCCCACCGGGGACCTGGCCTGCAACCCAGGCATGTGCCCTGACTGGGAATCGAACTGGTAACCCCTTGGTTCACAGCCTGTGCTCTCCCCTTCGCCCCCCTTCTCCTCCTCCCACTGCCCTGTTGCTAACCTTTCATGTGATCTTCGTTTCTATGGTTCTGCTCTTGATCTAGCTGTCCTCTTAGTTTCCTTTGGTTTTAGGTATGGTTGTTAATAACTGTGAGTTTGCTGTCATTTTACTATACATGTTTTTATCTTCTTTTTCTTAGGTAAGTCCCTTTAACATTTCATATAATAAGGTCTTGGTGATGATGAACTCCTTGAACTTGACCTTATCTGAGAAGCACTTTATCTGCCCTTCCATTCTAAATGAAAGCTTTGCTGGATAGAGCAATCTTGGATGTAGGTCCTTGCCTTTCATGACTTGGAATACTTCTTTCCAGCCCCTTCTTGCCTATAAGGTCTCTTTTGAGAAATCAGCTGACAGTCTGATGGGAACTCCTTTGTAGGTGACTGTCCCCTTATATCTCACTGCTTCTAGGATTCTCTCCTTCATTTTAATCTTGGCTAATGTAATGATGATGTGCCTTGGTGTGTTCCTTCTTGGGTCCAACTTCTTTGGGATTCTCTGAGCTTCCTGGACTTCCTGGAAGTCTGTTGCCTTTGCCAGATTGGGGAAGTTCTCCTTTATTATTTTTCCAAATAACTTTTCCACTTGTTGCTCTTCCTCTTCTCCTTCTGGTATCCCTATAATTCGGATGTTGGAACGTTTAAAGATGTCCTGGAGGTTCCTAAGCCTCTCCTCCTTTTTTTGGATTCTTGTTTCTTCATCCTTTTCTGTTTGGTCATTTTTTTCCTCTTTCTGGTCCACTCCCTTGATTTGAGTCCCAGTTTCCTTTCCATTACTATTGGTTTCCTATGCATTTCCCTTCATTTCAATTAGTGCAGCCTCCATATGTTCCTCTAATTTGTGACTGAAATTGACCAGTTCTGTGAGCATCCTGATCACCAGTGTTTTGAACAGTGCATCTGAAAGTTTGGCTATTTCTTGGTTGCTTAGATTTATTGGCTCTGGAGCTTTGAGTTCTTCTTGAGCCATGTTTTGGTCTGTTGGCACCTGTTACTATATGAGGAGCGGAGCCCTAGGTGTTCCCCAGGGCCAGGCAATTTAGTCGCTGTGTTGTGATGCTGTATGTGGGGTGGGGTCAGATAGGGGCAATAGCGGTTCCCTTTGCTTCTTCCTGCCGCTGGGGCCTTTGCAGTCAGTCTCACTGCTTGTTCCTTCGCCTGGTTTATCTGCGTGGGAATGTGTGACCAGGTCAGCCTGCCGCCTTGCGCCCTCACTGGGTCTGCCCATTGCTACCCCACGCCTGGGATCTGTGAACCGCTGCCAGCACCTGGGTGGGTCCAGGGGATCTTTCCTGCCCGACCCTGCTCTGCTGCTGGCTCCGCCCCTCTTACCAGTCTGGCTGAAGGGTTCGTTGTTGTCAGACTTCCATATAGTTCAATTTTCTGTGTTTTGGCTGCGTTTTTGTTACTAAAACTATGTTGTCTTTAAACTTGGTTATGTGAGGAGGCACAGTGTTTCCACCTACACCTCCATCTTAGGAAAGGCCTGAAGTTTTTGTCTTTTGGGGTTTTTTTTTAAGTTTTTTCAGGCACCCTACTTATTTTTATAGTGACCAGTTATAGATGTGGATGTCTATAGCTGTAACTGAAGCTGGATTAACCATTGTTATTCATTCTCTTTTTTATTTTAAATCATTGCAAAATATCTGTAATATAAAGTTGACCATTAGGGTCATTTTTCCATGTGGATGGCATTAAGTACATTCATAGTGTTGCCCAACTCTCAGCACTATCTATATTTAGCACTTTTTATCATCACCATCACTAACTCTATACTTATTGAATAATAGATTTCCCTTTCTCCCAATCTTGGTTTTTTCAATTTTAGTTTCTGTCTCTATGAATTTATATTTTTGCTATTTCATGTAAGTGTAATTATATAATAGTTATCCTTATGTGTTTGACTTCTTCACTTAGCATAGTATTTTAAAATTTCATCCATGCTGTAACATGTATCCAAATTTTACTCTCTTTTAAGACTGAATAATATTCTGCTTTATAGATCTACCACATTTTTGTTCACCCATTTATCTTTTCATTTTTGTTGTGAATGTCTTCTGGCTATTGTGATTAATGCTGCTATGAACATTGCTGTACAAGTATGTGTTTGAATTCCTGCTCTGATTTTTATGTATACCTAGAAGTGGAGTCATTGGATTATATAGCAATTCTGTTTTAATCTGTGATGGAATTGCCAATTTATTTTCCTCAGTGACTGTACCATTTTTATTCTGATCAGCAATGTACAAGGTTCTTGTTTCTTCATATCCTGACAATACTTGTTATTTTTCATTCTTTTTTTTCAATATGATAACTTCTTCATGGTGGTAAGAGTGATATATTACTGTAGTTTTTATTTGTATTTCCTTAGTTACTAAGGATGCTGAGCATCTTTTCATGTTCTTATTGACCATGTTTAGAATTGACTATTCAAGACCATTGCCTATTTTAAAATTCAGTTGTTTTGTTTATATTGTTGTTGAGTCATAGGAACACATTATATATTCTATTAATTTCTTAACCAAATATATAACTTGCAGATTTTTCCCTAGTCTGTTGGTTGCCTTTTTATTAACTCTTGATAGTATCCTTTGATGCACAGAAGATTAAATTTCAGTGAGGTCCAATTTACCTATTTTGTTGTTGTTGTTGTCTAACATTGTTTTCTCTTTTTTATTTTATATAACTGAATATAAGGCTCGGCTATGGTTTTTACCCCAGTTCTCTTATCTTCAGCTCCTGGCATTTCTACTGCCTATAGTTAAACTATGTAACCCCATCTTGTGTTTGTATGGTGATTATTTTATATGATCTCATTGAGGAGATCTGGTGAGAGATACTGAGAGATTGACTGTGTACATCCTGACAGGGCAAGGTTAACCCCATCTCCCTTATCAATAGAAAGGAACACAGTACAAAAATAGTAACACATTTTTGTATGGGGGTGATGATATATACTTTAAAATTTCTATTTTTTCAAGTTATAAGTTATTTATGTTCATAGAAATGTTAAATATGGAAGTGTTTAATGATCTTACTCTTCAGATACTCCTTTTTAATAATTTTATTTTTTGGAATGTATTTTTTTGTGTTATACCATTATATTACTTTATTAAATGGGTTAATAACATACATATACTCTTTTTTAAAAATTATATTTATTTATTTTTAGAGGGGGAAGGGAGGGAGAAAGAGAGGGAGAGAAACATCAATATGTGGTTGCCTCTTGCATGCCCCCTACAGGGGATCTGGCCCACAACCTAGGCATGTGCCCTGACTGGGAATTGAACTCATGACCCTTTGGTTCGCAGACTGGCACTCAACCCATTGAGCCACACCAGCCAGGGCAATACCACATGTATACTCTTGCAATTTTCTATTAACAAAAGAAAACAACCTTAATATATCTTTGACAGCTTTCCATGTTATAGTGTATATTTATATTCACAGTCCTTTAAATGGTCTGTACTTTTATTTAATTAGCCGCTTATTGGTAAAACATTTGTGTTTACCTCAGGTTTTGAGGTTTACATACAGTGGTACGGTGAGCACCCTGTAGAAATGTCATCGTACATTTGAGCAACTGCCATTTCAGAAAATGTCTCCTTTTTTCCTGCAGATGTTGTGGAAGCAGATTCACAATTACCCAATGTTTAGCCTCCTTATGGACATTGACTCCTATATGTTTGCATGTGTGAATCAAACTGCTGTATATGAGGAGCTTGAAGATGAAACAAGAAGACTCTGTGATGTCAGACCTTTTCTTCCAGTTCTCAAATTAGTAACAAGAAGTTGTGACCCAGGAGAAAAATTAGACTCAAAAATTGGAGTCCTTATAGGAAAAGGTAATTTAAAAAAATTTAGTGTGAATTCTTAACATGTCTTTTCCTATGTATACAAACATGTATAGTAAGTGTGATCAAGACTTTGCTTTGCAAAGTGTGGTGGTCCATGGGCAAGTGCTGGTCTGTGAATTGTCACCAGTTACTGAGGCAAGTGCAGAAGTGAGGAGTAGATGTTTGGAGACTCCTCTAGCAATGTGATAGTGCCACAGTATCCGAGGGCATATGTTTTGTATGTCTTTTTTTTCTTGTGACTTATTTTCATTTGAAAAAATACTGTTTTTTGACAGATTGGAAAGAAAAATATTGTTCTTTGCTTCAGATAGTTTGAGAAGCCCCTTTGTAAGAGATACTGATCTGCACCTACATAATTTGTCTACAACTCTCTACGCCAACCAAGGCTTTAAGCTGATAAGTTTCCATAAGTAAACCATATTGTTGACACATTATAGTTCATAACTAAAATTATCTTTAAGAAGTTAATTTTGTAGTGAGTCCAGATACAGCATGTGTATATTATTCTTTGCAAATTAATTTCAGGGAGACTTGTAATAAAAAACATGCAGGAGTCACTCTTTTATAGTAATCTTAGGTGTCTCAAAGGCCAATAGTATACTGTCAGCACCCTGCATTAGACAAAATACTAACATGAAGTAAGTATTTTCAGGGGTTATTAAGGATGAGACTTGGAAGCTTGAATACAAAATGAAGAATTCATTGGAGGTTATTGGATCTGGACTGGTTGATGCTATTGATCAAATTTACTACTAGAGAATAATATAATTCCATCCCCTTTAAGATAGTAAGTATCTTTAAGATAATATGGTACCATCCTCTCTAAGGACCATCACATTTAAGATAGTATTCTTTAATCTCGACCTAAGGTAATTCAGGCTAGCCTCTGATTATTACACTGTCAGACTGAACTCTTCCTTTTGAGCACATAGAACCCTATTGATTTACTAAAAGACACCCTGTTCTTTAAAAATGTTTGATTACTTTGGAGACTAGCTAGTCTGCTTTTGACAATAATTTCCTCCACCCATTAAATAGTTATAATTATATACCATACAGATATTTACTTATATATTATTGGACTCATTAGAAAGCATTCATTTCTATTTTCTAATGCTCCAAAGATTTTTATAGATTATTAATTTTTCTCCATTAGAAAGTTTTTCCATCATTTGAATCGAAGAATGTATGGAAGAGTAGAAAGAATAAAAAATTACTTGTAGTCTTTTATCTTCCAGAATTAGAATATCTACTGATAATATTTTCATGTAGCTACAACATTTGATAATCCAAAAGGTCAGCACCACAGAGGGAGCTTGCTTCAGAATATACATATCTTTTTAAAAATTTATCATCTTTTCAAAACTTAGATCACTGTGCTTTCCTCTGGTCTTGATTTCCAAAATATATGGATTTATTAACTACCATTACTTCTACTCAGCCTTGCCAAATTTAGTAAATAAAAACATAGGCAATATGAATATTACATAGAATATACTTACGCTAAAAAATTTATTGTTTACCTAAAATTGAAATAGAACTGGGCATATTATTCTACTTTCTGTAAATTTAGCAAATCTAAGTTTACCTTACCACAGCTCAGGGATCTTCTGTGTATATTAGAATTGAATTTCTCTTTTTATAAACAATGTATTATATTTCACTCAGAATCATAAAGCTTATTTGTATAACTTTTTTTGATCAGGATGTAAAGCGTATAAATTAAGCAGTTTATAAACACTTAACTATTTATAAACTGTACTTTTAGATCTTTAGCATCTCTAGAAAATATGGTATTTTGATTGTATCCACAACTTAAAAAAATTTTTTTTACTGTATTTTTATTTTTATGTATTGATTTTAGAGACCTACAGGAAGGAAGGGGTAAGGAGAGAGAGAGAGAAATGTTCATTTGTTATTCCACTTATTGATGCATTCATTGATTGCTTCTTGTATGTGCCCTGACCAGGGATTGAAATGACAATCTTGGTGATTGGGATGATGCTTTAACCAACTGAGCTACTTGGCCAGGGCTGTAACCATGATTTTAAATGTTAACATTCATTTAGGAAGTTGAGTAAATCTGTTTTAATATTTTAGAATGGATTTTCACTTTAAATACCTAACAAGTCAGTTTTGCAGTTGTTGATTTGTATTTCATCCCTATAGCTGGGACTTGGTAAGGTCATGCCTTCTGGCGAAACAATAAAGAATTATTTCAATTTAACTTCAGGAACAAGTTTGCTGCCTCCTTTTCCCCGAAGAAAACTATAGAACCTTTACTAAAAATACTTTTTTTTAAACATGATGTGTCTGATCATTTTCTTTTCTTTTTTTAATTCTAAATTATTATTTATAGGAGCAGCTGTTTGGGTTCTGATTATTCTCTGTAGTGAAGGTACATGTCACCCTTGAGTTAATTTCTCCAAACACTTAGTAGTAAACCTTTTTTTAAAAAAGATTTTATTTATATATTTTTAGACAGAGGGGAAAGGAAGGAGAGAGGGAGAGAAATATCAATGTATGGTTGCCTCTCATGCATCCCTGGTGGGAACTGGCCTGCAACCCAGGCATGTGCCCTGACTGGGAATTGAACCGTGATCCTTTGTTTCACAGGCCTGCGCTCAATCCACTGAGCTGTACCAGCCAGGGCGTAAATCTTTTTTTTTAATCGATAAGTTTATTGATTGTAGAGAGAGAGGAAGTGGGGGGCCAGGCGAGGGAGAAAAGAGAGAGAGAAACATCGATGTGAGAGAGAGAGATGGCAATTGATTGCCTCTGTATGCATTCTGACCAGGGATCAAGCCCACAACCCAGGTATGTGCCCTGACTTGGAATCAAATTTGCAACCTTTTGGTTTATGGGATGATGCTCCAACCAACTGAGCCACCTGGCCAGGGCACCTAAGTAGTAAATCTTGATCAGAGCATTTTATCAGCATCCTGAAAAAAGCATTTGGAAATTTCCTTATTTCCCCTGACCTATCATAGTATATCTTAAAGTGAAGGAAACATATAATATGCTGGATTTTTAACATGTTTAGTAAGAAGAAATTGTTTGCTCAATACATTTTTTAAAAAATATTTTATTTATTTATTTTTCGAGAGAGGGGAGGGGAAGGAGAAAGAGTAGGAGAGAAATATCAATGTATGGTTGCCTCTCATGCGTCCCCTGCTGGGAACTTGCCTGCAACCCAGGCATGTGCCCTGACTGGGAATAGAACCGTGATACTCTGGTTCACAGGCCCACGCTCAATCCACTGAGCTATGCCAGCCAGGGCTGCTCAATACAATTTTTAATATTAAAATTTTTATTTGACTGTAAGCTTATCTTAATCTTAATGTAAGGTTGGTTACCACATTTTCTTACTGGAGAAAATGTAGGAAATTAACTAGATTTCAAATTAAATTACTTAGCCTAACTTCTTAATTTTGACAGTTTCTATTTTTAAGAGAACTAGTGGTTCCCAAATTTAAGCTTCATTAGTTTCTTAAAAAGCAGTTTCTCAGAGATGAGGATTCATTGAGTCTGGGATGAATTAAACAAATCTGGCCCTGGCTGGTGTGGTTTAATGGATGGCCAGCAAAACCAAAAGGTCACTGATTCAATTCCCTGTCAGAGCTGTGGGCCAGGTTCCCAGTTGGGGGCTTGTGAGAGGCAGCCCATCAATGGTTCTCTTGCATATTGGGGGTTCTCTCCCTCTTTTTCTCCCTCCCTTCTCTCTAAAAATAAATAAAAATCTTTTTTAAAAAAGAAAAAGAAATCTGTACTTTTCAGATGATCATAACAGTTATGTGAGCAGAGTCCCTAATTTATGATATATTTAAAAAATTACCAACACAGTAACAGTTGCAAGTCAGTTGCAAGTTGTTGGGTGTTTATTCCTTTTTTTTTCCAAAAAATTTTTTTAAAATGTGGTTTCTTTCTTTTTTAGATATTTTATTTAGTTATTTTTAGAGAGAGAAGGAAAGGGGGGTGCGAGAGAGAGAGAGAAACATCGATGTGTGGTTGCTTCTTGTGTATCCCCCACTGGGGACCTGGCCTGCAACCCAGGCATGTGCCCTGACTGGGAATTGAACCAGCGACTCTTTGATTCGAAGGCTGGCGCTCAGTTCACTGAGTCACACCAGTTAGGGCTTTAGTGTTTATTCCTGGGACTATAGCAGTGAACTTTGGAGATATGGCCTTTGTCTGCTTTGAGCTCCCTGTGCAATGGGAATTATGGATCAGTAAAGAGTTAAATAAATACACAAGGTGTAAACTGCTGTAAATAAAGAAAGGTCACGTAAATCAACTGTATGAATTAGGGACACACCCTTGGGGGGAGCACAGCTAATCTGAACCTTCACTGCTGATTGAGAGTTGAGCCAGTGAAAGGAGTTAGATGAAGGAAAAGTAAGAGAGAATGGCATGTGTAAAGGGTAGTCTATTTGAATAATTAAAGAAATTGTTATCATTTCTCTAAGGGGACAGCTAGCACAAGTAGGAAGACCAGAGAGACAAGCAACTTCAGAACATATAAAAAATAGAGACATAGTCCTAAGAGCCCTTAGGAAGTTATTGAAGGGATTTAAAGAGGGGAGCAACAGGATCAGATTTGCATTTGAATAATTAATTTTCCAATTAAAGTTGACATATATTAGTTTCAGGTGTACAACATAGTGATTAGACATTTACATATCTTTCAAAGTGCTCACTGTGATTAATCTAGTACTTGTCCAACACCACAGTTATTACATTATTATTGATTGTATTCCATATGTTATACTATACATAGTAGTCTCCCTGAGACTATTTTTATAACTGGCAATTTATACTTAAAAAAATATTTTTAAAATTTACTTTTAGAGAGAGGGGAGGAGAGGGAGAAAGAGAGGAAGAGAAACATCAACATGTGAAAGAAACATCAACATGTGAAAGAAACATCAACCAGTTGCATCTTGCACACTCCTAGTGGGGGAATCACCCCACAACCCAAGCATGTGCCCTGACTGGGAATCAAACTTGCAACCTTTTGGTGTGCAGGGTGATGCACAACGCACTGAGCCACACCAGTCAGGGCGGCAGTTTATACTTTGTAATTCCTATAACCATCCCTCCCACCCCCATCCCCAGACCCCTTTCCATCTGGCGACAATCTGTTTGTTCTCTGTATTTGTGAATTAGTTTCTATTTTGTTTGTTTTATAGATTCCATATATAAGTGAAATCATGTGGTATTTGTCTTTCTCTGTCTGACATATTTTCCTTAGTATAATACACTCTAGGTTTATCCATGTTGTTACAAATGGTACGACTTTATTCATTTTTATGGCTGAGTAATATTCCACTGTCTACATGTACCAGATCTTCTTTATTCATTTGTCTCTTTATGGACACTTAGTTTGCTTCACTGCAGTGAGCATAGGAGTGCACATATCTTTTTTTCTTGTATCTCGTAGCTTCTTCCATAAATGTCTCCTATTTTTTAATAGTACATGGCTGAATACTTTCTGGACAGCTCTTGTATAGATTCAAATGGTATAATATCAATTGGCTTTATTGAACAAAAACTGACAGCTGTCTCACTCTACTCCCCTCCCAATCATTATGAAATACCATTACTATTGTCATCTCAAGTATGTTTTTAAAACAAAAATTTATATGTATTCTAGTTTCTTGCTTTCAAATTTGCATAAAACAAATCTTAGAGGACCCATTTTTTTTCTGTTTTTAAAATTTACTATACTCCGGGGCTATTATCTCTGTTTTAGTCATTTTATTACTTGCACCACTGTATAATGGCATATGGATATATCTTATTTTTTTAAACCAAGTCATAATGATTAATTTCAGCTTTTTCCATTTTTAGTTATTACTAAGAAAAACTATAGCGAACATTTCTACTGATGTCATTTGTATAATTATTTACATAGATTTGTGGAAGTAAACAAGAATACAAAATGAGAACAGACTATTTACTCAGAGCTTACTACAAAGTATTTTTGTGTGCGGCAGTGTCTCAGTATCAGGCAGGGGGTAAGTTTTAGACTGACAAAAGGGAAAGGCTTCAGGTATCCCTGACTAGAAGTAGTTGGAAGAGATGAGCTTACTAGAAGATGAGCATATTTATTTTTCTCTGGTTTGTCCCAGGTCACTCAGATTGAAATTCTGTTGTTCAATTTTGAGGTTAAGTTATGTATATGTATTTAATATATTATATATTACTAGAAATTCTAATAATTTGCCATTTTTCTTATATCCTTCTAGCACAGGATATTGCCAGAATGTAAAGTCTTTGCCTATCTGTTAGTTAAAAATGAAGGCACGAATAAAAATTTATGAATGTTTATTTTTGTTTTATACTTCTAGAATTATTTATTAGAATAATCATAAGTTTATGACAAAGTTACCATATATAGTTTTCTTCATGGCTCAAGTGGTTCATACTTATGTACCACAAAGAATGATTTTATGTGTATGAAATTTCGAGTAATTTTTATATTCACTGGGAAAAATCATAGTGAACTGAAAGTTTAAACTGTAAGTAAGTAATAACGAATTTTAGGCTCATACTAACTTCAGCATAAAATATTCTTCTAATACAGTATTTGAAGAGTTTTAGATTCTTGGTCTTTCTTGGATATTATAGATGTGACTTAGTTTATAAAGAAAAACTGTGGATCTCTTATATATGCTTTTTAAATGTGTACTGTGTATTTCAGTGGTTAACTTAATAAAACTGGTAATCGTTGGACAACAGTGTGGTGATTGCTGGGGGGGAAGAGTGGTATAAGGGGACTAAAGGGTAATGGGAAAAATGTAATAAAGATAAAAAACTGGTAATTATATCTTTATAAAACTGGTAAGCAACTATATTTCTTTACAAAGTTTCAAGTTCGTATCCTTTAGAATATTTAATTTTATAATTGTCTTCTGTACATTACTTTTATTATTTTATATGTTTATACATTTTTGTTGAATATATTTTATACTTTATGTAATTACTATTAACTGCTCAGAATGACATCTTTAAAAATGTGTTTAGGTCTGCATGAATTTGATACCTTGAAGGATCCTGAAGTGAATGAATTCCGAATAAAAATGCGCAAATTCAGTGAGGAAAAGATTCAGTCACTTGTGGGATTGTCTTGGATAGACTGGCTAAAGCAGACATATCCACCAGAGCATGAACCATCCAACCTTGAAAACTTAGAAGATAAACTTTATGGAGGAAAGCTCATTGTGGCTGTTCATTTTGAAAATTGCCAGGTAATGTAATATTACTTTAATAAATATTTTGTAATAGCCCTGGCTGGTGTGGCTCAGTTGGTTGGAGCATTGTCCTATAGACCAAGAAGTCACAGGTTTGATTTCCGTTCAGGGCATATACCCTGATTGCAGGTTCAGTACCCAGTCGGGGCTCATATGAAAAGGCAACCAGTTCATGTTTCTCTCTCTCTTTCTCCCTCTCTCTCCTTCTTCTCACCTCTCCCTTCCCCCCCTCCCCACTCCCTCTTGTTCTCTTTCTAAAGGCTATGAAAAACTATCCTTGGGGAGGAAAAATAAATATTTTGTAATCTGTGACTTTTGCCTGAATGCAGCTCCAGTTTCAGAGGAGGCTCTTGCTCACCTGGGAAACATGATTACAAAGCACATTTTAACATTTAATATGGAAATATATTTAGGATTATGGTAATAATCTGAAAGTGATACATCCTTTGCTCATATATCATTTTTCGATGTAGTGGTGTGTTAATCTAGATTGGGTCAGCAAACTGCTGTTTTTGAATGGTTCTTATATATATATTTTTAAATATATTTTATTGATTATGCCATTACAGTTCTATTCCCCCCTTCATTCCCCTCCATCCTGCACACCCCCTCCCCCATCATCCCCCCTTTACTTTATGACCATGTGTCTCAAGTTCTTTAGATTCTATATTTCCCCTACTATTCTTGCCCTGCCCCTATCTATTTTCTGCCTACTGTCTATGCTACTTATTTTCTGTACCTTCTCCCCCCTTCTCCTCCTCCCACTCCCCTGTTGCTAACCCTCCATGTGATCTCCACTTCTATGGTTCTGCTCTTGATCTAGCTGTCCTCTTAGTTTCCTTTGGTTTTAGGTGTGGTTGTTAATAACTGTGAGTTTGCTGTCATTTTACTATACATGTTTTTATCTTCTTTTTCTTAGATAAGTCCCTTTAACATTTCATATAATAAAGGCTTGATGATGATGAACTCCTTGAACTTGACCTTATCTGAGAAGCACTTTATCTGCCCTTCCATTCTAAATGAAAGCTTTGCTGGATAGAGCAATCTTGGATGTAGGTCCTTGCCTTTCATGACTTGGAATACTTCTTTCCAGCCCCTTCTTGCCTATAAGGTCTCTTTTGAGAAATCCGCTGACAGTCTGATGGGAACTACTTTATAGGTGACAGTCCCCTTATCTCTTGCTGCTTCTAGGATTCTCTCCTTCATTTTAATCTTGGCTAATGTAATGATGATGTGCCTTGGTGTGTTCCTTCTTGGGTCCAACTTCTTTGGGACTCTCTGAGCTTCCTGGACTTCCTGGAAGTCTTTTGCCTTTACCAGATTGGGGAAGTTCTCCTTTATTATTTTTTCAAATAACTTTTCCATTTGTTGCTCTTCCTCTTCCCCTTCTGGTATCCCTGTAATTCAGATGTTGGAACATTTAAAGATGTCCTGGAGGTTCCTAAGCCTCTCCTCATTTTTTTGAATTTTTGTTTCTTCATATTTTTCTGTTTGGTCATTATTTTCTTCCTTCTGGTCCACTCCTTTGATTTGAGTCCCAGTTTCCTTTCCATTACTATTGGTTTCCTGTGCATTTCCCTTCATTTCAATTAGTTTAGCCTTCATATGTTCCTCTAATTTGTGACTAAAATCGACCAGTTCTGTGAGCATCCTAATCACCAGTGCTTTGAACTGTGCATCTGATAGGTTGGCTGTTTCTTGGTTGCTTAGATTTATTGGCTCTGGGGCTTTGACTTCTTGAGCCATAATGTTTTGGTCTGTTGACGCCTGTTACTGTATGAGGGGCAGAGCCCTAGGTGTTCTCCAGGGCGGGGCCACCCAGGTTGCTATGTTGTGATGCTGTATGTGGTGGCAGGGTCATAGAGGGGCAATGGCGGTCCCCTCTGCTGCTTCCTGCCTTTGGGGCCTTTGTGGTCCGTCCCACTGCTTGCTCCTTTGATTGGTTTATCTGCGCAGGAATGTGTGACCAGAGTCAGCCTGCTGCCTTGAGCCCTCACTGGGTCTGCCCATTGCAACCCCACCCCTGGGATCTGCCAAACACCGCCCCTGTGCCTGGGTTGGTTGGCTGCTTTTTCCTGCCCCACTCCGCTCCACCAGCCACTGACTCCACCCCTCTTACTGGTCTGACTGAATGGTTCGTTGTCGGACTTCCATACAGTTTAATTTTCTGTGTTTTGGTTGTGTTTTTGTTACTAAAACTTTGTTGTCTTTAAACTTGGTTGTGCGAGGAGGCACAGTGTTTCAACACCCTATGCCTCCATCTTGGCCAGAAGTCCTCCCAAACAGGTTTTCAAATTTACATTCCTACCAGTAGTATTTAGAGTTTGGTTTTCACACATCTTTTTTTTTTTTTAAGATTTTATTCATTTATCTTTAGTTGGGAAGGGAAGGAGAGAGGACGAGAAATATCAATGTATGGTTGCCTCTCATGTGTCCCCTGCTGGGAAATGGCCTGGCCTGCAACCCAGGCATGTGCCCTGACTGGGAATCGAACCACGATCCCTTAGTTCGCAGGCCTGCACTCAGTCCCCTGAGCTACACCATCCAGGGCATGTTTTCACATATGCTTTGCTAATACTTGTTATTATCAGTCTTTTAAACCTTCTTAAATTTGCCATTTTCTTTTTTATTGAATATTAAATCTTCATTTTACTTAAGATGCTTTATTCCTTAGGGTTCTCTTTGATTCTGCTTCATATGTACTTGATCTTTATTCATTTTCAAGGTGCTTTTAATTTTTGAAAAACATTAACCATACTTGCTTTATTTTCTGATTATTAATTTTAGTACCTGCAGTTTTTCAAGCCCAGTTCTGTTTTCTAGGCTTTCTGTAGATTCTTACTATCTGCTAATGAGATTGTCCTTTAGTTTTATATTTTTGAAGACTTTATCTATGAAATAGAGAGAAGGTAGGGATCATAGAATAATTATATTAAGGAGCCTGTGCTTAATCATTCATACCTGCACTATTGAATACGGTAGTAAATAGCAACATGTGTAATTTAGTAGTCACATATTGAGCCAGTTGTGTCCAGTGGTTATTGTATTGGACACCACAGAATAGAATATTTTTATTGTTAAAGAGAGTTCTGTTGTGTACCACTGCTTGAGACAGTTACGAGCATTTGTATTATGTTAAAAAAGACTATCAAATCTCCTTGCTGCTCTTCTTTTTAAGATTATTTTCTAAGCTGGGTGGAGGTAGATAGTACAAGAGATTGATCAAATAGGAAGCTATATTGCTCTTTAGGACAGATGTAAAGAGTCATTGAAGTAGAAGAGCATGGTAATGAAGGTGGAGAGAAGGCGATCACTCTATGTTTGGGGAAGTGAGATGGAGAAGGAAAGGAAAGTGATAAGACTTCTCAAGTCACTTTGCATATCTTTTAGTTCTTGTACTTTGATGAGTATGGTACCAACTGATATAGAAAGTACAGGAGGAAAGGGTAAAAATGCTGAAGAAAGTAGATTGGAAGACCCAGTAGGTTTGAGATACTTTGTGAAAAAGAGAGGTGACATAAATTAATTTGGTGGGAAATATTGCAAAAATCAACTTCAGGTCAATATAGATAATTTTCTAGTAGTTGTCCAGGGTAGCAGTTGGCTGCCTTGGGAGATAATGAGCTTTCTTATATCTTTGATAGATGATCATATGGTGGGGAATTATTTTGCTAGATCATGGGAGGATTGAGGTATTATCAAATAATCTTTAATATCTATACTTCTGAGTTTTATGCACATATTTAATAATCTATCACAACTATATCTTTACTTTTCACTAATTAAACTTTGTTTCTTTTTACATGTTTATAAAATCAAATTGTTAATTTATGGTTAAACTGGTATAAAATAAAGATCTCTTAATAGCAACAACATATAATTCTTTTTAAATACATACTAAGTTTGAAAAAGTACAGGATTTTTTGAAACTTTTTATCATAATATCATTTTTTAAAATATTTTTTTATTTATTTTAAAGAAGGGAAGGGAGGGAAGAAGAAAGGGAGAGAAATATCAATGTGCAAGAGATTTGGATCTGTTGCCTCTTACACCCCTAGCTGGGGACCTGGCCCACAACCCAGGCATGTGCCCTGAGTGGGAGTTGAACCAATGACCTTTGGGTTCACAGGCCGACACTCAGTCCACTGAGCCACATCAACCAGCCAGGGCTTTTCCAGTAACTCTTTAAAAGAAGGATATTCACTGGTAAATGTCTGTGATAAACTACCTGATGATAAATTTAGTTAAATATCAGTAAACTTTAGTTAAATATTTATCTGACCTGTAGAAATGGTGGCATTCTGTGTAATGTAAGATGAATTAAAAATTATCATCCATCTTAACATATTTGACATAGGCACAGTATATTTAGAAAATAGAAAAATTTCTGACATTAAATGGAAAGTGTATGCTTATATATTAAATATTATGTATAGGTGTTTATAATATAGTAATAAGTACAAATGTAAAGAATAGTTTTGTTTTGTTTTTAGCAAAAATGTAAAATTATCCCTTTTTTCTATCACCCTCTTTAGGATGTGTTTAGCTTTCAAGTATCTCCTGATATGAATCCTGTTAAAATAAATGAATTGGCAATCCAGAAACGTTTGACTATTCATGGGAAAGAAGATGAAGTTAGCCCCTATGACTATGTGTTACAAATTAGTGGGAGATTAGAATATGTGTTTGGTGATCACCCACTAATCCACTTCCAGGTATGTGTATTAATTATGAATTTACTAGAGAATTGTATGTGTATTTAACAATTTGACAATTGAAATTTCTGATTTAAAAATGTGTTACTATAAAGATTTTATTTATTTTTAGAGAGAGCAGGAGAGAGAGAGAAAAACAGGGAAACATTGATGCGTGAGAGATACATTGATTAGTTGCCTCTCATATGGCCCCAACTGGGGAACTGGTACACAACCCAGGCATGTGCCCTGACTGGGAATCAAACTGGTAACCTTTCAGTTCACAGGCGGCTACTCAATCCACTGAGCCGCACCAGCCAGGGCAAAAAATGTGTTACTCTAATAGAACATTCAGAACCTACAGAAAAGTATATACAATTAAATAGCCATAATCCTACCTACCGGTGAAATAACCATTGTTAACATTTTGGCATGTTTTTGTCATTTTACTTGAAGTTATACATATTTTTGGCATAATGGTTATGTATATGTTTATGTATGTATCTATAATGTTTTCATTCTGCTTTTTAAATTGTTTCAGTGTCATAATTGTCTATAGCATTATGAATTCTTAATATAGTTTGTTATAGCTGCCTATTATTTCATTGTATAAACAGTGATTTAGATATGAAATATTTGGAGGGAAGTAAAACATAAAACATTTTGATTAAATGGCCCCTAATTGAATTGTATAAAACTTATTTGTGATTATCAGTTAACTAGTAAAGTAATACTATAAATTTTCATTGTGTATTAGAAAATTTCAATTTAAGTCTGATATTTATATATATAATATCTTCCCCTTCAGCAGTTCCCCCCTCTTTTTTTACGTCCATATTTGGTAAGAATTTTGAAGGTATTAGGTTTACTATCCTCAAAAGTCTTTCCTTCACTTTGAGGTATTTACTGCCATTTAGTCATGAATTCTCTGATTATATACTTTATGGAAAGCACTGAAGTGCTCAGATTGTTTTTGGAGTAGAGTTTAAATAGCATAGGTGCAGGTTTTCTCTCCCTGTCTTTTTCCCTTCTCTTCTCTCTAAAAATAAATAAATAAAATCTTTAAATAAGATAATGTGCAGTGCAACAGCCCTTTCTCCAACATAATAAGGTGTGCTATTTAAAGGACAGGATCCCGACTGTGCTTCAAGGAATTTGAAGATATTTTCACTGAAATTACATTGGAGAGTAAAAAAATGGTTATTACATATGAAACAGGGATGTCAAACTCATTTTCACCGGGGGCCACATCAGCCTCACAGTTGCCTTCAAAGGGCCGAATGTAATTTCAACACCTTAACAGGTAAGGAGTAGTTACATTTATACAGTCCTAAAATTATTTTGGCCCTTTGAAGGCAATTGTGAGGCTAATGTGGTCCCTGGTAAAAATGAGTTTGACACCCCTGAGATATAAAGCATAATAAGCTGAGTCAGATAAATAATAAGACTTTAGAATACTATGTGATTACTTTTATTTGTGTTTTGTTTGGGAATACAGTCATGCCAGATATTAAGTGCTATTTGAGAATAGGAGCTGTGATTTTTTTTAAATCAGGTAATAGGGAATTTAATACTTTTGTTTTAAGATTCTGGGTGTGGTCCTCAATTCTTGAACTTTAGTAGGTAGAAAGTCTAACAGCAGTTATAACTTCTGTGTACAGCTTTGGTAGTTGTAGCATTCTGATAATAAGTCCTTGAACTCTAGCTCATAAGAGGAAGAAGATAGATGTAAAGTGCTTGGTGGGAGCATAGAAGTACTGACTTATTCCTTCATGTTTTGTCATCTTTTAAGTAGTTGCCTGCCCCTTTAACTTAAAATTTATTCTTGATGAGAGGAAGTTATTGTTTTGTCAGAAGTGAGTTTGTTATTATAAAAAAATAAAGTTATGCATATATTTTTGTACAAGGTCATGGGAGAGAAAATATGTAACGTAGGCAAAGGAATAGGAAGGAAATGGAATGAAATCTCTTTCATGTTGAAAAGTTTTGAATGAATACATTTATCATAATATCATGTAATTTTACTTATAGGCCATCCTGGAAATTTTTTTAATTTAGAAAATGTAGTTTTAGTAGTTTTAAGTTGAATATAATATGTTGAATTTCACTTTATATCTAAGATAGTGTTTCTTTTGAGTAATACATTGGATTTTATTCAGTTTGTTAGGAATTTTTGTTAATATGAATAACCACCCATTTTTTAAATAAACCTCTGGAGAGTCATCCTGGTTTCATGGAAATAAACAGAGCATCATGCTGGGATGGTTTCTAGGTTTTCTTGGGGAAACAGTAATGGCTTAGAGCCCTGTGCTGAAATGGTACCAGGGCTACCTCAGAAATTCATGGGAAGATGTGAGTTGGCCACTTGATGACTTAAGAAATGGCTTTGTGGGTACAATTACATGTTCCCTTTTCCTAACTGAGTGAAAGCTTACACTGTGATGTCAGTCGATGACATTCAAGTCCTGCCCCTAGAAATATATGCCTATTGGCCAAACCGTCAGGTATTGAGTGCAGAAAACAAAAGACAAAACATTTAGACTGAAGCATGTCTTTCTTCAAGGTTTAAAAAATAATCAGAAAAAAAAGTTAGGCAGGTGGATTTAAGTCCAGGTTTTAAAGATACTAGATTTATAACTTAACCATTCTGATTTTTGTTCTTGAATCTATTAAATGGGGGATAATTGCTCTTACACAGGTTTTGTGAAGATTAGTTATAACATGTAAGAATTGTCTAACTCAGTTCTTATGTACTTAGGTTTACAGTAGCTTTTTTTATGTTGAGATTTTAAATTCTAATATTCTTGAAGCCAGGTTGTTTGAAGTATACTTTTATAGGGCATTTTGATACAGTGTTGTTCAGCTTATTTTTATTCTTCTGTGGACTTAAGTATTTGCTTGAATATCCTTACCTTGTTATCTTGCCACTGTTAGTATATCCGGAACTGTGTAATGAACAGGAGCTTGCCCCATTTTATGCTTGTGGAATGCTGCAAGATCAAAAAGATGTATGAACAGGAAATGATTGCCATAGAGGCTGCCATAAATCGAAATTCATCTAACTTTCCTCTTCCTTTACCACCAAAGAAAACACGAATTATTTCTGTAAGTTTCATGTGTTAATTTTTGGAAATCCCAAAAGGCCTGTGATTTTGTTAAATTATATACTTAAGTCTCACACATTTGTATTTGCTCACTTCTCCTTCTGGGAAAACCAGTGCACATTTGCCAAATATCCATCACCATTTATAATTATTTTCTAGTTACTATTATTTTTCTTTTCTCAAGCTATATATAAATGTAAATATGCCATTTATATTTTTGTTGTTCTTTTGGTGCCATAGAAAAATGCCATTAAATTACATTTTTTTTGAGATTAGAGCTAGACATAAGACTTAAGTGAGTAATTTGAGACATTGTGATAAGAAAAGTTAGATATGCAAAAATAGTTGATTTACTAGTGTATTTCATTTTTTTATCAGCTTAGCTGTGATAAAGTTGTGATGTTAATTTGCCTGTCTTATTGAGTACTTTTATACTTTAAGGGTATCAAAGGTAGCAAAGGGTATCAAAGTTTTTTTTTTTCAGAATCTGATACATTTGTAAAAGCCAAATATTAAGTTTATGTTCGTGGGAACAGTTAACATATTTTCACAGGGACAATAACTAAGGGGGGTGGAAATGGGAGGAAGGTGGGGAGTACGGGGTGGGGTGGGCTGGGACGGGAGAAATAGACCAAAAAACTGTACTTGAAAAATAATTAAATAAAAAAATTAAATAAAATTTAAAAACCCCTATTTTAAATAGTTATCTAGTCTTAACAAATTGTATGTTTAAATACTTCTTGATGGTTAAGATGTTATCTGTAATGCTGCCTGTGTTTTACCTAGTGATTATGAAACTTAATATATCTGACTTTCAGTTGTTAGTTCAAAAATCTATTTTCATTATTTTACCAGTGGACATCAGAACTGATGAAATGATTTGTTAGCATAAAATATTTATGTCTTTCATTAAAATACTTCATATTTATTTCATTTTTTTACAGCATGTTTGGGAAAATAACAGCCCTTTCCAAATTATCTTGGTAAAGGGAAATAAACTTAACACAGAAGAAACTGTAAAAGTGAGTACTTGTTAAGGTTTGAATTTGTCATCTGCTCCATTAATTAAATAACTCATTGATATGCTCAATGAATGTTACACTGCAAATTAAATTTTACTGATAATGGTCAATTATACGAGATAGAATATAGTATTTTATTACAAGACAGTTAAGAATTTTTGCTTTAAAGTTTTTAAATAGTTGGAGATATAATGGATAGATTGACATTTTCCAGATATACGAGGGGGAACCTCTCCCCTGCCCCCAAACGGAATTATCTTCTGGAGGGAATTATCTTCTTCTAATACAGGCTTCTTGTGCTAGGTTGAGTTAGAATTCTAAGAACCCATCTGTATCAGTGTAGCAGCTGATGTTGTTGTGAGAGGCTTCATTTGGCTTCAGTGAAGTTTTTTTTGAAGACACTTTCAATGTGTAGCCCATTTCATGACTGGTGATTTTTGAGTACATCTGCCCACACTGCACGTTGAGTGTTGAACAGTCAAAAACTGTTTTGAGCAGTGGACAAAATGTCTTGGTAGGTGTATTGTGTGAAATGGAGAGTACTTGGAAGGTGACTGAAGTTTAAACATGTAAAAATAAATACGCAAATTTTTATAAATAAATTCTGGGTTTGGGGGGTCCCCCTACTATATTTATATAAAAGAAATAGCTTTAGAGCAGCATTTTAGCAAGTGGAATTTAAGTTGAAGCTGTAGGTCACATGTTTGTATGCAAGCTTCCTTTTCTTTCTCAGCCTTGCTTAGAGCTGCACCCAGCTCTTGTTTTTTTTCTTTTAAACTTGCTGAACACAGAAAATATAATACCATTTCTTAGAAGAAAATAGATGACTACATTATAGACCACAAGTTGTTAACACATGGGGTTTATTGCACAACTCCATACAATTAAGTGAAGACTTAAGGCATTTTTGTCTCGCAGTATAAAGCATGCATTTACCCCTGTTTTCCTTGGCAGGAAATTAAGTGAATAGTTTTGTGATCCAAGAAAGAGATTGAGTTAGTTTGAGATGTTCTCTAGCATGACAATATATTCAGGAGTACCTTGCCAAAAATTACCAATAGCTTGTTTTTGTAAATGGACATTAAAGATTCTCTGGGTAGCTGTAATTAAAATACGGGCTTTTTGCTCTTATATTCTTAGCTAGATTTGAACTTTTGATGAGTGTGCTTATGCCAATTAGCTATTTTCTATTTTAGTGGTAATTTTATTTTTTCCTTTAATTTAAATTTTGTATTATATTTTTCAATTACAAAACTATAACATTGTTGCAGCAGGTAAAAAAAAGTCTGAATAAGATTTTTAAAAAAGATACTAGTCTCATTTACCTGTCTCTTTATCTTCATATGGGATTTAAGGTTAACCAGTGTTGTGAATGTCCCCCGTATTTATGCAAATATATAAGCATAGAGTTTCAGTATTGAATGAGTTTTGGTTGTGTTTATTTTATTGATTGGTTGTTTTGTTTAAAAAGATGATATATACATTACTCTTGATTTATTTACTTTATAAAACATCTTGGACAGTCACACATAGTCACTAGAATTCCTTGGATATCCCTAAAGGTAGAAATTACATAGAGGTGAGTCTGTCCTAAAGTCATGTGAAGTATTATATATATACATGTTTTTTTCTATGATTTGTATGTATAGATGTGTAATTTATATTGTAAAAATGGGAATTTCTACTTGTTCTTTCCATTTGTACATTACTATATTTGTCTTCCGTAGGCAATTTATATTATTTAGTTCTTTTGTAGTTATAAAGATCAATCAATTTAGAAGATTTTCTAGTCTTTTATTATTATTTAATTTCTTCCTGAAGAAGACCAAAGAAGCCTTCACTACCTGCTTTATTTTTTTGAGTATTACATTTTATTTTTTTGTCAGAGATGTTTTATTTCCATAGGTTTTTCCAAGTTCCATCAGATATTTGAAGCTGGATTGATTTTGTTGTTTGTGGTCATGTTTTTAGGAATAATGAATGGACTTTTTTCTTTTTTAAGATTTTATTTATTTTTAGAGGGGGGAAGGGAAGGAGAAAAGGAGGGAGAGACACATTGATTGGTTGTCTTTTGCACACCCCTATTGGAGACCGGCCCCCAACCCAAGCATGTGTCCTGACTCTGTCTATATGCTTTCTCTTATTCTGTCTTGGCTGTTAAAAATACTGATATTGTTATTATCTCATAGTTTAGATACTTTGAGTATAACATAAAGCTAGATACAGAGATTCCCTAAAAGTGCTGTTATATAAATCTTTTTTAAAATTATTCTTACCATATTTTTTACAAACTAAAAGTACAAGTCCTTAGACTTTTAGTCTAATTTGGGGGAACACAGGGAAATATCATTTAAAGCAGTTTAGAGATGTGGACATAAAGGTTGCTTAAGGCTAAGGCTACTCAATCTTGAAACTCATTAACAGAAGGGAGAAAAACTTAAATGGTTGTTTTAAAAAAATTAAACCAAAAGTATTTTCATTTTTATCCATACTTTTATTAAATTGAATGAGTTTTGGATTGATTGTAGAATTTGGTGTTATGTCTGTGTATAGGATCTTGAGTTTAGATCACCGAGCTATTATGTGGTACTCCCTAGAATATTAATTTTTAAATATTTAAAAATAATATAAAATAAAATTCAAGGTTACCAACATTCTTGCTAACCTACTTACTATAAACTACTTTTATTTATATTTCCTTCACAAGATGAAGATGTGAATGTGCTTTTAATGAGTGTATATAGTATTTTGTTATTTATTGTTTTAAGGTTACATTGCAAATAATTTTCCCCTTCTTTGCAAGGCATCATGATGTATTGAAAAGTAAGAGACACAGAGTGCCTTAGTAGATGTTGGTGCCATTCTCATCATGGCAGAAAAGATAGGTAGTTATGGTAAGTTAGATTCTGAGGGAGAATTTTTGTTGAGTTTGATATGGAAAAGACTTGCATAGGTTTATAACCTGCTAGGGGCTGGGGAAGTAGATTCCCCCCTCCTCCCCACCCCTCCAATACAGAGGAGCAAAGGAGTAAGGTCTAAGTACTTTGGAAGTTGGAGCATGGTGGAATAGCTCCTTCCTATGAAGTTGAAGAGAATCAGGTGTGTGTTTAGATAAAAATTCTCCCGGTAGCCTGAGAGTTTACTGCAGATATTTTTAGTAATCCTTTGTAACCCTATTACTTTAATCATTACTGTGTTATACACAATAGTTTGTACTTGGAGTAAATAATTTTCTTCTATTTAAAAAATTTTTAAGGAAGATTTTAAACATTCATAAAAGTTGGGAGAATAGTATAATCAACTTCCATGAACCAGTTTCAGTAGTTATTTTGATAGCTTTTTAACAATATTTCTTTGTGGCCCTGGCTGGTGTAGCTCAGTGAATTGAGTGCGGGCCTGCGAACCAGACAATCGCAGTTCGATTCCCAGTCAGGGCACATGCCTGGTTGCAGGCTGGTTTCCTGCAGGCCAGTTCCCAGCAGGGGATGCACAAAAGGCAACCGTACATTGATGTTTCTCTCTCTCTCTCCTTCCCCCCTTCCCCTCTAAAGATAAATAAATAAAAAATATTTAAAAAATGTTTAGTGTTCTTTAAAAAAAAAACAACAATATTTCTTTGTAATTGGCTTTTTATTTTTAAAAATATTTAACCATTTACTCCATTTATGTTTATTTTGCAGAGATTAGATTAATGCACAATATTTATTAAAATAAGCCATTCTTTCCCTTTTACCTTATGAAGTATGTAGTCTACTAGTCTGTAGTTTTATTTATGCTAATATAACATTGTTTTATTTTAATAGGTTTTAAACTAATAATTGTAATTTATTATAAATATAATAATTTAAAAATTGATGCTATTGTCAATATTCAAAAATTTGAATCAGTATTTAAAATGTTTTAATCTCTATCTATAAAGTAGATATTATTATTTTCTCAGAATTAGAGTAGTAACTCTTTGAAGAAGTCAGACTTTTTATTGATAGGCTTTTGTTTAAATTTTAAAAAGACAAACCTAAAGAATTCCACATAGGAATCATTTATTCAGTAAATATTTGAGTAACACTGTGTGCTAATGTCACATCTGAATAATTGATATAAAACATTTGACTTTAATGTTTAATGTATTTCATTGAGTCAGTGTCTGCTTTTAGTTCTACTTCTACCACTCACACACCTTTAAATTGGAGATAATTAGATTATGTCTTTAAAAACCACTATATAAATGAATGAATAATATTTTGGGGGACATTTTACGTATCTCTGGCATCATTCTGGACTTGAGTCTTTGGAAAAATACAAAGAGACAATGATGTGTAGGATCATCATAAATATGAATAGAATATCTTTAATAGGATAATCATAAATATGAATAGAATATCTTTAGTTGACTACTTTTAATGACTTATTCATGAATTATTCAGAAGTAGAAAGAGACTTTGGAGACATTCTATCCATCCCTTCCTTCTCAAGTATACAGAAGAGTAAGACAAGACCCCAAGTCAATGAAGTCAGTGAAAGCAAGCATATGATAATAGTTTTTATAGCTGTCATATTGGCTTCTTCAGACCTATTTATACTATTGAGGCCCCTGGCATTTTTTATCAGGTCTACTTAGTAAGTGAAAAATAGGTGAAACAGTTTAGTTAATAAAATACTGAATAATTACAGTCTCATGCTCTGCGGCCACAGTCTTTTCTGGAGTCCATGTGCTGCTTCTCCCAGTATATATTTATTCTCCAAAATTAAAGCTGTGTCAGTGGTTCGATACTCATTGGTTCCGTATTTATTTTTGTCTCCTTCCTTTCAGGTTCATGTCAGGGCTGGCCTTTTTCACGGTACTGAACTTCTGTGTAAAACCATTGTAAGCTCAGAGATATCAGGGAAAAATGATCACATTTGGAATGAACCACTGGAATTTGATATTAATACTTGTGACCTGCCACGAATGGCAAGATTATGTTTTGCTGTTTATGCAGTTTTGGATAAAGTGAAAACGAAGAAATCAACTAAAACCATTAATGCCTCTAAATATCAGACTATCAGGAAATCTGGGAAAGTGGTAATTATCTAATAACTTCTGAAAAACTAAAAATGGAGTAACTTAATGGAATGATATAATAGAATAATTTTAAGACCTTTTGACATAACGGAATAATCTAAGTGAAATTATATCATATAACTTTGGTACCTAAGAACTGATTTCACAAAGGCAATAAATCTCCCTTTTTATATTCTGCTCAGTCATTTCTTTTTTGGCAAATTTATTTTAGTAAATGTTATACTACAAGTGCTTTATTATAAATGTTGTACTGAAGGAGGTACATGTAAAAAAGAATGAAGGAGTTTAAAAAATTATTGGTCCACAGTCTCTTAACCGAAATTTCAGCTGCCTACATATGTTTCAGCTGCCATGTGTTTCAGCTGCCATGTATGTTTGAGAATGCAGAATTTTGTGCATTTTTGAAACATCATAGATCATACTTCACTTAGCATACCTTCTGGGTTGTGTGGCTCATTTGTAATCAAACATATCAGTAGCTAGAATTATATGAACATTCACATTAAATTCATTCTTAGCATATTTATGTATCTTTTTCAACAGCATTATCCTGTAGCATGGGTAAATACGATGGTTTTTGACTTTAAAGGACAGTTGAGATCTGGAGACATAATATTGCACAGCTGGTCTTCATTTCCTGGTAAGATTTACTTTCTAATTCTTAGTGTTAAAAAGAGTAACTTTTGCATTGTAGACTTGATAATGTTTCCTTATGTTTCCTTTCAATTTAGTAAAGAAACTATCATTTTATGTCTTTTTGTTTATTTTAAAACAAATTTCCATAGATTATTTTAATATATTCCAGTGATTTGTACCTGCATATATTATTATTTTAATGAATGTGTTCTCACTGTAAACATTTTATATTTATAGGTTTTTGAGAATTGCTCCTAGGGGATAATGTCTTTTATAACATTGTCTTTTCTTTATTATTCCTACTTGTACTAAATTTTTATACTGGTAGACAGAACATTCACTAATATGGGAAGACTAATACAAAAGGTTTAGCCTGAAATATGAGCTAAGAAGAGCACCTTTTACATGCCTGTATTTTTCAAATACAGTTTAACATACCCTTATTATAAGATGGATGGTTTTATCTCTATTTTACAGATAAGGAAAGTAAACCTTTGTCAGTCTTACATAATTTGTTCATATCTAGGGTTTGTACAGAAGACTGCTTAGCTCTTTCCATTACTCTGTACTTTTTCCCAGGTGTGGAACTTTTTAGTGTAGAACTATTATACTAGTGAGTATTTTTCTGTCTTCATAGATATTTAGTAAAATTTTGAACTAACTTGCATTTTAAAATTATTTTGTGGGTGACAGACTTATGAAAATGTTCATGTATTAGTTACTATGTGAGAAATTGTTTATGAATACACACATAATTCTTTTGGACATAAATTACAATTATTTACAAACATTTGTACAACTTATGCATATGCATATTGTTACTCCTATCCTTTCCTGCATATACCTCCAATAATTTTCACTAATCACATTACTCTCCAAATATAGGGGAGCAGTGATATACACATTTCTTAAGAGGAACCAGAGTTTCACATTTAGAATAAAATTAAGCATTTCAGCAATATGCTTATTTATAAATCTTAATTTAGACTCACACATGTTCTCTTGAATCATCAAGCAACTTGACTGGTATTTGTAGCAAAATTTTTGGTGGTATTAACTTGGCATACCATGAGCTTAGCTTTATCTCTGACAAAATATAAGATGAAAAATAATAAATGAATACATTTGCACTGCATGTATCAGCTGTAGAATTGTCACATTTATCCCCTGTAGGAGCAAGCCAGAAATGAGCTACAAGTAATCTATTATCTAGAGTTCCTAGGTCACCAGTAATCATATTTATTGGTTGCTTTTGTGTCTTTCTAGAATTTTTTATGTATATACTAGGAAATATAAAATTAGATTTCTATTTTTCTCTCTATTCTTTAATAAAATAGCATATTCTGTGCAGTGTTCTGCTCTTTGCCCTTTTAATCTTTTCTAGAGAGAAAAGGTTAAAGAGCAGCACAAAGTGCTGCTGCTTCTTTTTAAAGCAGAGTTATCTTTTGATAGTTTAATAGTTCTGAGGAATAACCTTGCTTATGTATAGGTATATATTAAGATAAATTCCCAGAACTGGCTTCTTTGAGTCAAAGAATAAATACATTTTTGACGTTGATAATCATAAATTGCTGTCTTAGAGATAATATCAATGTGTGCTCTGCATTTGTAATATATTAGAGTACCTTTTTTGTGATCTTTTTTTTTTTTTTAAATCCTCACCTGGGGACATGTCCATCAATTTAGGGGGTGGGGCAGGAGGGAGAGAAATGAGTGTGGAGAGAAGCATCAATGCCAAAGAAACATTTGATAGGCTGCCTTCTGTATGTGCTCCATTCGGGGATTGAATCTGAAACTTCTAGGCATGTGCCCTCACTGGGAATCAAAGTCACAACCCTTTGCTACCTAGGACAATGCTCCAGCCAACTAATTGACCCAGCCAGGGGTTTGTGATCACTTTGAAGCATGGTTATCTCCATAAAGTGTGGGGCTGATAAGAATACTAAAATGCCCCCTGGCTGTTGTGGCTCAGTGGACTGAGTGTCACACTGCAAAGCAAAGGGTTGCTAGTTTGATTCCCAGTCAGGGCACATGCCTGGGTTGCAGGCCTGGTCCCCAGTAGGGGGTGCATGAGAGGCAATCACACATTGATGTTTCTCTCCTCTTTCTCTCTTCCCCCTCTCTCTAAAAACAAATAAATATTTTTAGAGAAGAATACTAAAATGCTACATTTGCCTTTAGATAGGTTGCATTTGGTGGGACAGTTAATTATAATGCTATTAGTTAGCAAATGTAGGATCATAATTTGTAGAGAAGGCAGCTTTAGAGGTGTATAAATTATGAGAATTGCTTCAAACCAGTTAAAATGGAATCTGAGATTGAGAGAGTGTTAAAAAAGATGAGCAAAAAATTAAGTAGCTGAAACTTGCAAGTTTTTAAAAGATTTTCTAGTTTTGGGAGATAATTCTGATTGTGCATACTATCTTTTCATTGGACCTAGACATACTGTTTCAGGAAATACCGAGAAAATAACTTAAAAATCAATATAAGAAAAGAAGAATTAATTTTAGATGGAGAGCACTTTAGGTTGTAGTGCTTTGTTCTCTCATCTTGAGTTTCATCTTTCTACCACAGTTTACTTATCTGTGAAATCAAAAAGTTACATGAACTCCAGTGTTTTATGACAACACTGAAATTCTAAGGTTCCCATGCACGGTTTTGTGAATGGACTACATTTAGAGTGGTAGAGAAGAGGAAGGACTGCCTTGAAAGCAGCAGGTGGTGAGGTTAAAGGAGTACCACTGGAATGGAGTATTATAAAAACTACCAGAAAAGGTGTTTAACTGTATCAGAAGTTTGAGATAATTGAGGAGTATTACATTTGTCCAAGAATGTCATTGATGACTTTGAAAATCATCAGTTTGAGTACTGTTCTGACCATAGAAATCAGATTACATGTGATTAAGAAATCTGTAGTGTTGAAATAATGAATCCTATGGGTCACCTGATTTTCATGGAGGGGGAGCAGTTTGAAGTAAGTTTTTTTTCCTAATTGATAATACTTACCAAATTGAAGAAAGGGGTGAGGTAGCTATTAATTTTTGTTAATTTTCTAATTTAAAAAACTGTATGTAAACTCAGATTCAAATTTTGTGCTAAACATTAACAGAAAATTAGAGGCTTACTGTTAAAATTGTCAAACTTCCTTAGGTGACAACTTTTAAAATAATTTTTATGGTTGAAATCCCTTCAAGTTTTATTTTGTTTTAGTTGCAAATGTATTTTTGAAGAATTAAAATTGTTTGCATGTTTTAGATGAACTTGAAGAAATGTTGAATCCAATGGGAACTGTTCAAACAAATCCATATACTGAAAATGCAACAGCCTTGCATATCAAATTCCCAGAGAATAAAAAACAACCTTATTATTACCCTCCCTTTGACAAGGTAAGATAATTTTTTAAAGGACTGTATTATACATGGAATAATTGAATTATTAGTTTCTGGCTCTGTGTGTTTACGGTGAAGCTCTGTATGTCTAATTCTATTCCTATTTCAAAACATCACATAAATTGACAGCTTTATTGACAGGTTCAGTGCAAAGACCACTGAGCTGGGAGCCAGCTCTATTTAGTTCTGGCTTCGTCACTGATCAAGTGAGATATGTTATCTTTGGAGTTCAGATTCCTCATTTATAAAATAAGGAAATCATTAATTGTTCTCAGAGATTTTTTCAAATTAAAAGGTCTGTAAATGTGTTTATATGTAAATTCTGAACATGTGAAATGTACAGTGAAATATGCCAGTATATTGGTTCTGAGATTAAAGACATAATCACTGCTGCATTAGACTTAGTGTTAAAAGAAAACATGGTTTATGTTGAATATTACAGTTAGTAGGACTTTCTAAAGTACTATTATTTGAATTTATAGTAAGGACTTCCATTTCTAAATGTATTCCCTTAGTATAAAGCTGCATGTCTTGGGGAGATAAGGAAAATATCTTGTGGGGGCTTACAATAGGGCTATGATAATTTACATGCTGAGAGAGCTTAGCTGTCATGTTTTATCTTCAGGTTTGGCATTTTTGTTTCAGGTATAATTGATGCTGATTTTTATGATGCAATCTTTGAGCAGATTCTCAAATAATAATGTTTCTTTTATTTCCTTAATCCATTTGAGAACCAGTTACCTTTAAACAATGATGTTACACTAAATAGCATTTAAATTAATCCACATGTAAATTTGATTGTGTTTTAATGTTCAACACTACCAGACCTGTAGAGAGTAGATTTTTAAAATAGTATGGAAATTAAATTTATGTAACTTAATGTTTTTTTTAACTTGCATTTTAGTTGAATTTTTATCTACCTAAAAAGTAGCTTTTATTTCAAATTCCTATAAAACATTTTTCTGACCAGTAATGTTTTGTGGTTATTGCAGTGGAAACCCCAAATATATCAAGAGCCCCATACCTTAGTGTACATTGAGTAAAGAAAGGTACATTTTGACTCATCCATTACATTCATGCATGGCTTTATTGCTTGGAATAGGAATAGTGGTCCTATCTGTGCCTTTTTTTGTGTGTTCAATTATGTTTTGTTCGACAATCAGTTATACTTATTTTGGAATTAGATAAGGTGCTTTTTGAAGTATTTTTACAAATATAATATCTTGTGCAAATATGAATGTTTTTAATCTGATATTTCAAGGGAAATCTAGTTTTTAAAGAATATTTTATTTCAGCATTGCTTAAGTTATCTTTAACCAATCACTGAACTTTCCTTTGCCTTTGAAGATCAACTTGGGGTGAAGATTTTAGTCTTTAAATGTCTAACTATGTTTACATTTACTGGGTTTCCTTTAATAGTACAGTTTTTATATGATCACTGTAAACACCAAATCAAATAATAATGATATACAAAGAGAAAGTTTTCCACATTTAAAAAAAATGGGATTTTCTTGATGTAATTACTTGCATACATTTTGCTTTTCAAATCAGTTATATTTTTATTGCTTAGTTTTTTTAACTGTAATCTCCTTTGATGATTATAGCAACTTTATGAAATGGGATGGGAACTATCATTATGTTTTACACATGAGGATACAGACAAACTATTAGTTTAAGATTACCTAACTCAGATACAGATGTTCAGATTCTTTACCACTCATCTTCTTCCTGGATCCTTATGGTCACATTTGTTCAAGACTTAGTAGAGGCCTTTGGAACTTAATGGTTTGAAAAATATTTTTAGACTATCTTTTTGACATTACTTTACATTTTTGATATCTGTTAATTCAAAAAGAACATGACATCACAAAACTTTGTAGTAATTCTAATGTACCTCTTTATTTTCTTAATCAGAAGATATTTACCTATATTATTTTTCCCATATGTATATGCAATCCACTATTTATCTTATCTATAGACTGTCCTAGTGCGTCCTAGGAATATTAGTCCCTTTATAGTAGTGCTGTTGATTGATTCCCAGTTGTTGAGAGTTTGAAGATTCTGAGTCACTGCATATTACCATTTTGCATTTAAAATTCATGTTTATATTATAAAGCATAGAAATGCCAGACTACATGTAGTCTAAGTGTCATTTATATTTAAAATTTTATAAATACAGGAGCCAAAATTGATTTTTTAAAAATCTTTTTAAACAGATTATCGAAAAGGCAGCTGAGATTGCAAGCAGCGATAGTGCTAATGTATCAGTAAGTATCAAGGTTTTACAATGGCCCCTTCTTATAAAGTTGTGCTTATTATTAGCTATCTTCATCTCACTTACAGCATTGAACTTATGGAAGACCAGATTCATATGCAAGAATAGTCCGTGAGTGTGGGTGAATGTGTACATACTAATGCTTTGTTAAATGACAGCTGTCTGTAAATGGTCTGTGTTCAGTGGTAAGCCCTTTTCTGATATAAACACAAATTCAGCATCTAGTTTGTAAGGGATGTTAGGACATCTCATAGATTAACAATGCGGTCTTTGTGAATGTAATTCAATTGAAGAAGGAGGCTGTAATTTTTATTTTTCTCTGTCACATAACAGAGCAGATATAATCATCCCAGGTTTCTTCTATCTTGGTGTGGTGCCATGTTTTACTTGTAGTATTTATCTCATAGTTTAATATTGGTGTTTGAGCTTTCTATAGCAAGAACAGGAAAAGCGAGACTAGAGGACACACTCATTCTTTTTGAGGATATCAGTGACATGCCTCATGTCTGCTTACATTTCATTAGACAGAACTTAGTCACATGACCATCCTTAACTACAGGTGAGGCAGGGAAATGTAGTCTTTAACTGGGCAGTCATGTGTTTGGCTGAAAGTAAGAGATTGTGGCTACTAAGGGAAGAAGAGGAGAATGCATATTGAGGGAAAAACAGCAGTCTCTGCCACACACAGTAGTTCCACTTTTTCTGCCCAAACACTACATAACATATCACTTTGTTTACTTAGCTAATAATATGTGTATGAAATATTTCTACCATCTATATTTTTTAATTTAAAAAACTTTTTTAGTTCAACACTTTGCTGAGTGCTAATCTGATATTTTCTTTTCATGTCATCAGTTTACAACTTTTAAGTGTAAAGCCATTTTCAGTACAGCCATTCTGTATAGATTGGTAATTATATAGAGGCCAATAGGCAAAGTGGAGATAATGTATATGTCTTTGTCATTTGCAGTAAATCAAACCAATATTTAATGCTGGCTACTTGGAGAAATATCTGGCACAGGCTGTCTTCGGCTTTGACATTAGAGTTCCCAAAAATTCCTATTGGTCGCCCTGACCAGTGTGGCTTGGTTGGGCATTTTCCTGCAGAGCAAAAGATTTCTGGTTTGATTCCTGGTTAGGGCACATGCCTGGGCTGCAGGTTTGGTCCCCAGCTGAGGCATGTACAAAAGGCAGCCAGTCAGTGTTTCTCTCTCACGTTGATGTTTCTCTCCCTCTCTTTCTCTTCCCCTCTCCAAAAATAAAATGAAATCTTAAAAAATTTTTCTGTAGCTTTGTAGTGTAGGTTATCTGCTACTATAAATACTTCAGGACTAGTTCTCTGTAATGAAGCAAAAGAAGTTTATTACCACTACACACTTACCAGTCAGACAGTTCTTAAAAGACATACTTATAGTTTAAGAGATAACAGTGATATATGATACCTTCATTCTAATGCCTATTTGTAGTTACCCTTTATTAGTTTTAATATTGCTGGAATATTCTTGCCCAGGTTTGATATACCCTTCTTTTTTTATTTTTTAAACTTATTTATTTATTTATAGACAAAGGGGGAGGGTGGGAGAAAAAGAGGCAGAGAAATATCAGTGTGTGGTTGCCTCTCACACCCGCGCCCCTCCCTCCCCCCACTAGGAACCTGGCCTGCAATCCAGCTATGTGCCCTGACTGGGAATTGAGCCTGTGACCCTTTGGTTCATAGGCTGGCACTCAATCCACTGAGCCACATCAACCTTGTTTTTTAAATTGGGTATAAAATACAGTTAATAAATTGCGAAACCAAAACTGGAGGCTTTTTTCTGTAACTCCCAGAAGCTTTCCTCCCTAAAGATAACTGTGTAGTTTAGCTTGCAGCTGCCAAGCATAAATGCTATGTTTGCATTTATGTACTTAATATGTAAATTTCAATACCCTCTTTATAAAAATAAATGAGCCTTCTATTATATAATCTCTCCCTTTTTTATTTAATGCATTTTGTGGGTCTTTTCATGTCTGTATGTTAAGGCTTCTTAACATTCCACCACATTAATTATTAGTGTCCATTACATTCCCCTAGTGATGGATGTTTTGCTTACTTCCAATTATTCTACACTAGAACAGTGCTGCAGTTAATATTTTGAACATGCTTCATTATGCTTATGTATATTTTATAGGATGGATTCCTAGAAATGATTAGATCAAAAGGTATGTGCTGTTTCTGTAAGAATTCTGCCAAACTGCTTACCATAAAGATGGAAAATTTACAACCCCATTTACACTATAGGATTTCTACTTTTTGTATTTCCTTTTTCAAATTAAAATTTATTTTTCTTTTTTAAAGATTTATTTATTTTTAAAAAATATATCTTATTGATTATGCTATTATAGTTGTCCCAGTTTTACCCCCTTTGCCCACCTCTACCCTGTATTCCCATTCCCTCTAGCAATTCTCTCCCATTAGTTCATGTCTATGGGTCATGCATATAAGTTCTTTGTCTACTCCATTATCTATACTGTTCTTAATGTCTCCCTATTTTGTACCTACCAATTTGTATTTCTTAATCCCTGCACCTTTTCCCCTATTATCCCCCTTCTCCCTCCCAATTGATAACTCTCCAAATGATCTCCATATTTCTGATTGTTTCTGGTTTTTTTTGCTTAGTTTGTTTTTTAGATTTAATTGTTGATAGGTGTGAATGTATTGCCATTTTAATGTTCATAGTTTTAATCTTCTTTTTCTTATAAAAATCCCTTTATCATTTCTTGTAATAATGGCTTGGTGATGATCAACTCCTTTAATTTTACCTTGTCTGGGAAGCACTTTATCTGCCCTTCAATTCTAAAGGATAGCTTTGCTGGGTAGAGTAATGTAGGTCAGAGGTACTTGCTTTTCATGGCTTTGAATATTTCTTGCCAATCCCTTCTTGCCTTCAGAGTTTCTTTTTAGAAATCAGCTGACAGTCTTATGGGAACTCCTTTGTAGGTAACTGTCTCCTTTTCTCTTGTTGCCTTTAGATTCTCTCTTTATCTTTAACCTTTGGCATTTTAATTATGATGTGTCTTGATGTGGTACTGTTTGGGTCTATCTTGATTGGAACTCTTTGTGCTTCCTGGACTTCTTATGTCTATTTCCTTCACCAAATTATGGAAGTTTTCTTTCATTATTTTTTCAAATAAGTTTTCAAATAAACTCAGTTCAGAGGAAAGAGCATGACTGACCAAAGGAGCTACTCCACCTGCAGATCCCTTGATAACCCCTCTGATGGTTCCCCAGCCTCCTCCCATTCCTTGTATTCCTTGATTTTGAGCTGGAGTTCCCCTGGACTGTGTTTCTCACTAGCTGCATGGTTCTTAGCAGATCGGATTCCTGGTTGTATCTGCTTTCTCTCATTAAAGGAACCCTGTGTTAGGCACTCTTTTTCCTTCCCCAGAGTTGTTATTAATTAGTAATTTTAAAAAGATACATCTTTGCTAACTTTTTATGGCTTTTTGAGTGACAGGAATCAATAGAACTGTTTTAGTTGAATATTCACTGTGTATGCCAAGGGCAGGTTACATTCCTTAATAAGATCAACACAGGTTGATTTGTTGAAATGTGTGTGTGTGTATTTTAGGTATATTAAAACACAGGTATACATATGTATAAAATACACACACACACACACACACACACACACACACACACACAGTTCATTGGTTGAATTTACCATCATCTTACTAACAGAATCACACCTTCTCTTGGAATTAGAATTTTCTTAAAAAGATGTTATTTATTTATTTATTTATTTATTTATTTATTTATTTATTTATTTTAGGGAGAGGGAAGGGGCAGGGATAGAGAGGGAGAACAACATTGATGTGCCAGAGAAACATTGATCAGTTGCCTCTCACACACTCCCAACCGGGGGACCTGGCCCACAACCCAGGTATCAGGCATGTGCACTGACTGGGAATTAAACCAGTGGCCTCTTTGTTTGTGGGATGATGCCCAACCCACTGAACCACACCAGTCAGGGATAATTTTTTTTTTTAATTGTGATAAAATACATATAACATAAAATTTACTATTTAATCATTTTTAAGTATATAGTTCAGAAGCGTTATATGTATATTCACAATATTCTTAACACATTGTTAACTGCAACTGATCTCTAGAACTTTTCTTCTTGCCTAACTAAAACTCTGTCTCCATGAAACAACTTCATGTTTTCCTTCTCTCCCCTCAGCCCTTTAACATCCACTATTGTACTCTATGAATTTGACCATCTAGATACCTAATATAAATGGAGGCATGCAGTATTTTATTCTTTTGTGACTCACCTTTTTTACTTAATGTAATGGCTAGAGATTTTGTCACGACTTGGGAGGATGCTTCTGGCACCTAATAAGTAGAGTTCAAGGTTGCTGCTAAATTTTCTACAATGCACAGGACTGTCTTCCTACAACAAAAACATCAATACCAAGATTCAGAAACCCTGCTTTAATCTAAAAGATCTATGTTATAAATAAAGTGCGTCTTACTTTCTTATGGCAGAAACAGACACAAAACTTTAATGGCTGGCTTTGGAGAACATATGTCATTACTCAGCATTTAGTTAAGAGGTTCTGGGGATCTACCTAGAATGTTTTCTTTATAGAATGATCAGGAGTGTTCACAACTGTCAGTTTTAGGGAACAGAAATATCAAATATTAAAACAAAATTTTCAAACTCACTGAAAATTTGCATAAAAGTATAAGTTGCCATATATAGCCTTCATTCAACTTCCCCAGCTGTTAACATTTTACCACGTTTTACCAAATTGTGTGTGAATCAATTTTTCTGAATCATTTGTGATTGAGTAATATCCTGTCCATCATGTCCTTCTCACCCCTTAGTTCTTCAGTGCGTTTTTCCTAAAAACAAGGACATTCTCATACTTAACCTGAATCCAGTTACAAAAATCAGAAAAATACTATTGATATACTTTTGTTGTCTAAAGCACGCATTACATTCACAT